TTGGGACCCTATTGGGACAGTATGGGTCGGGCTCTTACCACTACAGGCTTCGGCTTGCCCGTTCTTATCTTCGTACGAAGGTGCTAGAGGATTTGAAGTCACTGGTCGAGGATTTGAAGACGGTGAACGAGCTTGCAGGGGAGCTCAAACTTTTGGCCTCAGAGGTCAAGGATGATGGTGATGACGATGATGATGGTGATGGAGACGATATCGGGACTAGCGATTAAGATGATGTTAGGGTCGTAGATATAGATTAGGTCCTTAACCCTGATGTTTTGAAACTTTTTGTAATGTTGCCCGAACTGGGCTCAATACTTTTGTTTTTAATTTAATTTATGAATGTTCGTGCATATTACTTCGTTATACAAGTTAATTTAAGCTTGTGTTTTCAATCAATGCACAACGCTTTCAAATTTATCAACACATCAACGTTGAACATCAGGCATGTGTGAGCTCGATTCTTAGGTATCATATATAGTGTACTCGTCGAGGTCGAGATTAGGGCCTATAAGTCATTAAATAACCCAGGCGTTCATGTTCGAGCTGTTTACTTGTAGTAAACTTGGGTGTTTTAAGCTCAGGGAACCTACTATTATGTTATTGCCTCATTGTACAAAAGGCATTGGGCTCGTGTTGCCTCCTGTGAGTTCAATTGTTAAATAACAGGTCGTAGTCATGATATGGAGTTATTGTCACGTCCATGTCTTTGAGACTGTTTCTGGATCGCAGAGGGGTCGGGTGCAATATTCACCATGCGAAGAGGCTCGACCCTGAACTTGTCCATTTTGTGATTTTAAATGCGTGAGAGGTCGGAGTTCATGACCTCGGGTTTGTATGTTAGACCCAATGTTGCTGTTTTTAGAGCACGGGGTTGGCTGCATGCCCAAGGCACATCATTACACCGAAGTGATCAGCTGTATGCCTGTAGCACATCATTACGCTAATATTAAAGGGTTGGCTGCATGTCCAAAGCATGTCATTATGCCGAAGTTATTAGCTGCATGCTCGTAGCACGTCACTACGCTAATGTTAAAGGGTTGGTTGCATGCTCGAAGCACGTCATTATGCCGAAGTTATTAGCTGCATGCCCGTAGCATGTCATTACGCTAATGTTAAAGAGTTGGCTGCATGCCCGAAGCACGTCATTACGCCAAAGTGTAAGGAGTGCAATTAGAACGAAACTTGAATATTATTTTAATTAGGTGCTCAAGGTACTTAGCCTGAGCTATTGAAAACAAATTGTTTAAGGGTGCATAAACCCAAGCTATTGAAAACAAACTGCTCAAGGGTGCATAAACCCAAGCTACTGAAAACAAACTGCTCAAGGGTGCATAAACTTGAGCTACCAAAAATAAAAATAAGGTGGGCGTGCAAGCCCTAAAAGTTTTTAAAAATGAAAAAGACGCTATTGCTATTCTACTTGTAATATATCTTTAGGTTATCTGCATTCCAAGGCCTTGGGAGTGGATTTCCTAAAGTGTCTCTGAGGTTGTATGCTCCGCCTTTTATCCTTTGTATGACTTCGAATGGCCCTTCCCATACCAGTCCAAGTTTACCCGGAGGGTGTCCAGCTGCTTCTACTCTTCTTAGAACCAAATCACCACTCCTAAATTCTCGTGACTTTACTTTGGTGTTGAAGTACTTTGCCGTTTTATTTTCGTAACTAGCAGCTCTCAATGAAGCTTACTTCCTCACTTCTTCAAGTAAGTCAAGATGTTCGGTTGTTTGGTCCTCCATGCTGGGTTTAATTTCCCTCAAACTGGGGAGACCAACTTCGACAGGGATAATGGCCTCTAAACCAAAAGACAACATGAAAGGAGCCTCACCCATTGTGTTCTATGAGAAGTTCTATATGCCCATAGTATGGACGGCAACTCATCAGGCTAGTCACCTCTTGCGTTTCCGATCCTAGTGCGAAGGTCTTGAAGTATGATCATATTTGTTATTTTAGCGAGGCCATTGCTTTGAGGGAGCGATACTGACGTCAGACGGTGGTTAATCCCGAGATTGACACAAAAGTTTTTGAATTGTGAATTGTTGAATTGCCTTCCATTATCCGTCATAAGTACTTTGGGTATTCCAAACCTACATACGATAGTCTTCTATACGAATGACCTGAGTTTTGCTTCTGATATTGTCGCTAGGGGTTCCGCTTCTACCCACTTTGTGAAGTATTCAACTGCTACCACATCAAATTTTAACTGTCCTCGGGCCAGGGGGAAAGGTCCGAGGATGTCTACCCCCCATTGTTCAAACAGTGCCGAATAATGGATAGAGGTCAATTCTTCCGCAGGGGCATGTATAGCATTACCAAACCTTTGACACTTGTTACACCTTTTGACATATTCAGCTGCATCTTTCTTCATAGTTGGCCCAGTAGTATCCATAACTTATTAATTTGTAGTCAAGGGCTCTGGCTCCCTGGTGGTTTCCACATATTCTCTCGTGAACCTCAGTCAGGGCTTGAAGAGATTTGGAAGGTTTGAGGCATCTCAGGTAGGGGAGCGTGAAACTTCTTCGAAATAACACTCCTCTGATGATACAATACCTCGAAGCTTTGGCCTGAATACTCCTTACAGCGTGAGGGTCAGGAGGTAGGTTTCCATTACTTATGTACTCAACTATTGGATCAATCTAGGAAGGCTCATGGTCAATGTCCATGACGTTCGACTTCAAGTTTATGCTAGGCTCTTTGACAATCTTGATGTGCACTGTTCTATCAAGTCCATCTATCCTCATGAAAATAAGTCTGGATAGTGCATCAACTTTGGAGTTGTTTGCTCTTGCTATTTTCAAAATTTCACAACTTGTAAATTGTCTCTGAAGATCATGCACTTTTAGGCAGTACAAGCTCATCTTTTCAACTTTTCTTTCGAAGGATCCTTCGATCTATCCAACAACAAGTTGTGAGTTGTTGAAGACTCTGATATGTTCTAATTCCAAACTTCTGGCAAGTTCGAGAACAATGACCACGACTTCGTATTCTGCTTCGTTGTTGGTTGCTTCAAACTCAAACCTAAGTGCACATTGGACTTCAGTGGTTTTGTCCGGGCTGATGATAATTATCCCAGCCCCCGAGCCCAAGCTGTTCGACGCCCCATCTACAAATATCTCCCAGATTTTCAAGGTCTTGCTCGAGTTTTTGATTTCGAGCCCTTGTAGTTTTTGAGTGAGTTCAGCTATGAAGTCGGTCAGAGCCTATGCCTTGATAGAAGGTCGAGGCTTTAATTCTATATCGAACTCGCCACGCTCGATTGCCCACCTCAATAACCTTCCTGAAACATCCGACCTCTAAAGTATGTGCTTGAGTGGTTGATTGGTAAGAACTACTATGGGGTGAGATTGAAAATATTGCTGTAACTTTCTAACAGTTACTGTCAAGGCAAGAGCTAACTGTTCTACAAGGGTATACTGAGTTTCGATGTCAAGAAGCACTTTATTGACATAGTAGATGGGTTATCGCACTTTTCCTTTTTCCTTTACTAACACCCCACTTACAACATTTTGAGAACAGCCAAGTAAAGGAACAAAGTATCACCAGGCTCTGGTTTGATAAGAACCGGAGGTACAGCTAAAGCTTGCTTAAGTTGTTGGAAGGCTAGATCACATTCATCATTCCATTCAAAGCTTTGGTTGCCTCTGAGTACTTTGAAGAATGGGAAAACATTTGACTACTGCCCAAGAAACAAATCTGTTCAATGCTGCTACTCAACCTGTAAGCTTTTGAATGTCCTTTTTGCTTCTTGGGGCTTCCATAGATATCAGGGCTCGGATTTTGTCAGGATTGGCTTCCATTTCTCTATTTGTGATCATAAACCCTAGAAACTTTCCCGACGCTACCCCAAAGGCACATTTGTCGGGTTAAGCTTCATGTTGTATCTCCGCAGTGTGGAAAACACTTCTTCAAGATCGTTGATATGAACATCCACCTATTTACTTTTGACCACCATGTCATCTACGTAAGCCTCAATATTTTTCTCGATTAGATCAGCAAAGACCTTGTTGATTAGCCTCTGATATGTTGCCCCTGGGTTCTTTAACCTAAATGGCATGACCTTGTAACAATAGATGGCTGAATCGGCCATGAATGAGGACTTTTCTTGATCTTCTGTGGCCATCGATATTTGATGGTACCTTGAGAATGCATCCAAAAAGTTGTACGATTTGTGACCTGAAGTGCTGTCAACGAGGCTGTCAATCCGGGGTAGGGGTTAGCTATCCTTCAGACATGCTTTGTTCAAATTAGTGAAGTCAATGCAAACTCCCCACTTCCCATTGGCCTCTTTCATGAGAACTACATTGGCAAGCCAGTCAGGATATTGTACTTCTCAGATGAAGAGCTTGGTAATCTCTTCTCGTATGACTTCGAGCCGTTCCGGTGCAAACTGTCTTTTCCTTTGTTTAACGAGTTTGGCTCCTGGGTTTATATTGAGCCTGTGTACTACAACCTCGGGATCAATTCCTGGCACATCTTCAACTATCCAAGCGAATACGTCTTAGTTTTGGGAGAGACAACTTATGACTTTAGCCATGATGGTTGAATCAAGGTCACGTCCTACTGTCACCTTCCTACCAGGCTTGAGCTCGACCTCGACCAACTCCTCTACCGGGGCGAGTCTCCCACGATTTTCAAGCTCGAGCTCGAGCTCCGAAAGCTGCATGACGTCTTCCTTCATTTTTCGAACACTAGTGACATAGCACTGGCGTGCCATGGTTTGGCTTCCTCGAACGACTCCAACTCCACTACATGTGGGGAACTTTATCGCCAGGTGAAAAGTTGAGACAATAGCTCTGATTTTATTTAGCAATGCTCACCCCAGGATGGCGTTGTAGGCCATCGAAGTTAGGACAACTTCGAAAGTTATGATATGAGTTACCTGCCGACCTTCAGATCCCAAAGTTGTGGCTAATCCAACAATACCTTCCGGGGTAATGACCCCACCACCAAATCCTTGGAGCGGTGTTTTAATAGGCTTGAGTTGTTCTGCTGAGATACCCATCTAAACAAAAGCTTTATGAGATAGCACATTAGCTGCACTTCCGTTATCCACAAGAATCCTCTTGACCTTGAAGTTAGCTATGAAAGCTGATATGACTAGGGCATCATCATGGAGGAAGGAGATTCCTTCCAAATCCTTCGACCCGAAGGTGATGTCTTTCGTATGAGCAATATCTGTATTGGAGGAGCTAGGGAGCTGTCTAGCATATTGCTTATGTCCACTGTTAGTGTCTCCATTCGAAGTTGTTCCTCCGACAATAACGTTAATAATGCCTGCCATTGGTGGTTCACTACCTCGTCCTTCTTGTACATTGTTCTGCTTGTTCCTCGGGCGTTTTCCATGGCTAGTGTAAGAGTCTAAAAAACCCCTCTTAATGAAAGCCTCAATTTGTTGCTTCAGAGCCAAACAGCTCTCAGTGGTATGCCCATGATCACCGTGAAAGTCACAGTACTTGGTTTTGTCTCTGTTTTCAGGTAATGACCGCAACCTGGGAGGCCATTTAAGCTCTTTGAGGTCTTTGATCTCCATCAGGATGTTGGACCTTGATGTATTCAAGGGAGTAGAGGTTGATGGTCGGGAGTCGTGTCTTGGCTTGGCCCGAGGAATGTCCTCTCATTGATTAGGTTCATGCGGTCTCTTATTATCCTGCCTAAGTAAAGGTGAAGCGTCCTTTCTTGGGGCTAGAGTTTCTTCCATATTGATGTATTTCTCAGCTCGGGTAAGGAGGTCAGTTACTAACTTTGGGGGGGGGGGGTTTTGACAGAGACATCTTGAATGCTTTGCATCTGATGGCATATGTCAAAACTGAGATCACAGCCGAAATAGGAAGATCTGGAATTTGAAGTCTTTCTTTATTGAATCTGGTCATGAAATTGCGTAATGTTTCATTGGGCCCCTGATGCATCTGCATGAGTAAAGCTATTGTCTTCGTGATTCACTTGCTGCTTGCAAAGAAAGCGGAGAATTTATCAGCCAGGTCTGCGAACGAAGCGATACAGTTCGGCTCCAATGTGGAGAACCAATCTCTAGGTGCAATTGTAAGAGTTTGAGGGAAGGCTTTGCACATTACGATGTCAGGCACGACTTGTAAGTTTATGATATCGGTATATATATTGAGGTGGTTGATGGGGTCAGTGTTCCCATCATACTCTTTTATCTTGGGATACTTGAATCTATCCGGAAGGGGGTAACACAATATTTCAGGAGTAAAGGGAGTGCTGCGGGTAAAGCCTGTTGCCCCCTTTTCTTTCTGTGCTAGGCTAGTGGTAATTCCTTCTTGGATGATTCTGGCGAGTTCACCTAACTCTGTCGTCACTGCCCTTGAGGCCGTGGTCATAGGAGGTACACCCGAGGTACCAACACCATTATTAGGAATGTTTTGTGGAGCTTGAACTCGAGCTCGAGCAGCTGCCATAAGATCACCGTCCGGTGTCGGTGTATGCGATGGGTGTGAGTTTCTTTAGCTTGACAACTGAGTTTAATGCGGTAACTTGTTGACAGAGCTCTTTGAAAGCTCCAACGGTAATGACAATCGGTGGTGGCGCTGTCGTCTCTGATGATTCCTCTTGAGGGATAAGATGATCTTCAGGGGGAGGATCTGGAGCGGATGAGCTTGTTGGTTGAAGACCTGATCGTGTATTCACCATGGCTTTTGGTAGCGCTTTCCACAGATGGCGCCAATGATGCTACCAAAAAGATATACCTGGTAAACCGCAAACTAGTGGTCTGAACTCCGAGCTTGGATCTCACAAATGAGCACAAACAGTCTTTCGATACCTGAAACAAAAGGCAACGAGGTGTGTTCTCATTGCCCCTCCGATGCTTACGTCAGACTGGGAGGTTAATGAGAGAAGGTTTTGAGTTAACGATAATGAAAAGCATACCGTGATGTTGAGCCTTGGCCAAGTATTTATAAGCGTTGGTGGGGGAGCTGTAGAAGGATTCTATTACTGAAAGAGTCCTTTTCCCCTTGGGGCTAGGTATTAGAGTTTAATTAGAAGTGTTCTGTTAGAGTTCTAATCAGAGAAGGAGTAGACTAAGATAGGATCTACTCTTTGGAGATTAAGTCGGTGGGTACTTGCCATGTTTAAGGTGGGAACGGTCGAATTAAATCATATCCCCGACCTTATACCGATGTGATTCGCCAAGATCAACTCGAGGGTCCTAGGTCGAGGTCTAGATTTGTGGTCGTAATGAAGTCGAGTTCGGGGGAACCCAAATCTGAGTCATCACCTGCCAATAAGGAGAGAGTTACTGGAACCCAACGATATTGACATTTGTGTTTAGGTGGGGAACTATAAATTGTGGTAAAGATTACTCCTTGAAAGACAAAGTAATAATTTGCTAGTTGAAAAGCCTCCTCACGAAGATCAGGAATTTCATCTTCTTTTTTCATCAGTTCTTCTCACTGCTGGGTTTCTCCAGCCATTTGTGTATGTGGAGAGGGAGAAAGAGAGAGAGAGAGAAGGGGGGGGGGATGGAGTAGGTAAAGACGTGCATACTCCTTATAATATGAAAGAGCTAGGTCTAGTATGTAATAATTTCTTGAAGAGCAGTTGGTACTTCTCAATATGTTTCTTTTACTATATTTAATTTGATGATTCTTTTCACATTGTATGACTCATATAGTCATATTAATTTTTTTAGAAATGGTATTGGTACATTTGAATCGGTAAGCAGTACTATGCCCTTGTCTGAGTCACATTATTTTCCATAGAATGCATTTTTATATAGTGTATTGATGGAAAATGTGTGGTTAAAAAATAAATAAAAGTTTTGAATTTGCATGTAATATTACTTTATTGAAAAATGTGTGGTTGAAATGATGTCAAATTACTGTTTAAGAATTTATTTTTTATTATTTTTTAAATGTGGCTCAAATATGCTCTATATATATAGCTTCCTAATTGTGTTGTTATTTTCTACAATAATGTGTATCCATGTGAATTGAAAAATTACAATAAACTATTATATTGTTGAGTTGTTTATTTCTAATCCATTTGAATAAATGTTATTAGGTTGCAGTTGAATCAACCGAATTAAAGTTTTAATTATTTCATTAAAAGATGAGAAAGAAAATAGACAAAAATACAATTTGTCATGTCAATACGAAAGTCTTATTTATACTGAATGAACATTCCTGTACATCTCCATTGAAATTTTTGCTAGAAGCAAAGAAGAAAAATATATTTTTCCGTCAAGAGTTTGTCCACAATAATTTAAATATTATAATTAGCTTATAATACATTGAAAAATATTTGGTTGCCAACTGTGAACAAAAAAAATATGGTATTTGAATATCGAAACGAAGTTTAGATTTCACGAAATTAAAATCAGTCGAAGCTAATAACCTTAATTCAAGCAAATATAATCAAATCAAAAACACCATCAATTATACTGAAATTACGGGAGGATCGAAGAAATGTCGTTGTTGGATGTTGCTTTATTCAAATTATAAAACCCAACTTAGTTTTTATCTTAGGTTTCCTTCTCCACCCGCACGCATACTATTGTCAAAAGTTTCCATTGATCTCTAAAAATTTGTAGGGAAAATTTCATTTGATGCCCATAACCAATTTTCAACGGAAAATCAAAGACTGAACTTGTTCTCGCAAATAGATTATTGCAATTTCTCGAACCAATTTTGGTGATCAGAAATTGTTGCAAATTAGGTTAGCTTGTTTGAATAAACTAAAACATGACGAAATATCGTAGCTTCTGCCAACTTTGCAAGCAGCAAGGTCACACCGTCACTATCCACAATTTTGATACTATACCTGTGGCCAGTCTTAACAATGGTCCAATTCTGCACCATTCTAGTCACCAATCTACCACCTTTAGTCCTTGCTCTTCGTGTCAACTTTGCTGCTACTCTGTCCCCTCTCTCGCATACCGGTTGTGCTCACCTCTTCTCTGTCTTAATTCTTAATTGTTCGGTGTGTTTTTGCAATGATATGCAACTTAATTTCTCTGTCTCGACTTTGAGAGATAACATAGGGATGTTCTAATTGTTGGAATTGGTTGAGTATAAAAATGGAAAAAAGTGAGTTTTATGTCAACTTCGGTCAAACATTCGAACTTGATCCAATAGTCAAATTACTAATATAAATATATTAACTTGTTTTACTCGTTGAATAAATCGTTATCGTATATTTGAAATTTCAAAATCAATTTCGGATGAACGAGAACTTTTGGTCCAAAGATGGAAAGAAAGAGAGGAAAATTGGCTGGAATTCAACCAACTTCGCCGCTCACCTTATGCTAGCTTAGCACTCGAGCAGTGAGGCTTCGCTCGAGTGACAGGAGTGTGATGGGCTCACTATTTTTTATGCTCAAGCGAGACAAAAGTGACAAGTGAGCGATAGCAAAAGTTGCCACTCTTGGCAAAAGTTGTTGAGTTTGGGTCATGTCTCTTTACTCACAACCTCACCCTCTATTAAATAGGACCCTTGGGATGTCCATTTCTTAATCCCAGTGATATTTAATCATAGCTTAACATCAATTTCTTCTTTCTCTACCAAAATTTTGCATACACTTTGCATAAATTCTGGTTTTCTTTTGATCATTCAAAAAGGAATACAAAATCCAGTTTTTGGTTCATGGATCTTGTGTTTTGGAGTGCTACTAATTCAAGAGGATAGTCATTGTGTCTTGAAAGTTTATTGACATCATCCATAGACATTGTTGCAGGCAAAATCTATTTAATGACAAAGAGCTCAATTATTGCCTCGACTTTGCATCCATTTCTTTTGGCGTTATTTTTGTGGAATATTTTTGTTTTGTTTCCTTGCAGTTATTCTGTCCAATTTTCAGTAGGGTTAGTAAGTTTTTTTTTTGGTTTCTAAAGCCTCGCTCTATTATTTTTCCAACAATCTTAAGTCGATTTTTGGAGCGATTACTTTATCCTATTCAATCAAACTAATTTCTCTTTTGTTTAACATCTTCTACCATTCTCGAATTTGATTTGTGCTTTGTCTTCTGTTTTAGTGTAAATAGAAATGAATATGATTTTAAATACCGACTCCACTTCGAATAATACTTCGAACATGAGAACTTCGGAAGGAATTGCTCCTACCAGTGCAATCCTTCTTGTTTCGATTACCCCTCCCACCATTCATACGAACTCTATTCCACATGGAGAGAAATTGAAGAAATATATTGGGTTTGACTTTAAGAGATGGTAACAGAAAATGTTGTTTTATCCCACGATCCTAAACCTGACAAAATTCGTAAATGAAGATGCTCCTGCCATGCAAGAAGTGGAAAATAACAGGGCATCACTAGGAGGATTGGATGCTTGGAAATATTCAGATTTCTTATATAAGAACTACAAACTAATGGGTTGGATGATGCATTATATAACGTATATAGTTCCAAAAAATCTATCAAAGAACTATGGGAGTCTTTGGAAAAGAAATACAAGACTAAAAATGTTGGAATGAAAAAGTTCATTGTGGGTAAATTTTTTTACTACAGAATGGTAGATTTAAAGATAGTCATCAGTCAAGTACAAGAATTACAAGTGATTC